AATTTATAATTAACAAGTCATATAATAGATCCGATAGAAAGTTATAAAATCAAGATAGGTATAAGAATGTATAGAATTATAATATACCCGTCGCGTATTTATCTAATCTTATTGTGGTATATATGATTACATAAAATTTTAATTTTATTTTTAATTCTACTTAGATTTAACAAATTTTTTGATTAATAAATATTTAATTTTATACTTGATAATGTTATTATATATTTAATTATATTTTATTTTAATTAAACGTTCAAAATTTTTAATTAAATTTTAATACTTTATTTAAATATTCTATAAAATTTTTAAATTAAAAACATATAACTTGGGAATATAGCATCTAGAACGTTTTACTCACGAAGCGGATAGATAAACAATTCTTTACCCATTTTGGTTACGGAGCGAGTACAAATTTATATTCTTTTCATAAACCGACGTGAACATATCCATCCTACTCTCATATGTAAACGTGAGTATTTTTCATTTGGTAATATGTTATTTAACAAGTCTACGCGTAAAGATAGCCCAAACACATACTCAAATTTCTTGAATTTACTACATTTGGATGAATGTGTAACTATTAAAATTAGTCAATTTTTGAAAATAATTGTATCGTAAACATGATAAACAACATTAGGCAAAAAATATCTTGTACTTGAAATTCATACAACACTTGAAATTGATCAAAATTTCATAAATCTAATGAAATTTATAGAACTTTCGAATCAAATTACGTTCTTTTTACCCTTCAAACAATTTTTTTAAATAAATTTAAATATCATTAATTAAGCGACACACATTCACTAATAATAACATGATAAAAATAACTTTCGAATAAACACACGTGTAGAAAAACAACCCTGCTCGAGTCCACGATCTCATGTAGAAAAGAAAATGCACCAATTATTCAACTAAATAGCGATTATTTGTTTTCTTAACAATTAATGATAGCGTGATTTAAATATTATAGACATAAAGCTTAATAGTCTTTGAAATTATATTCTTAACGTGGGTTTAAAAAAAAAGGATTTGATTATAAATAAATCCCTTTAACGTCACGAAATTTATGCTAACTACATTCGAAAGAATTTTAATTATGGTTTAAATTGATTGGATTCCATTTGAACAAAGAGTATCATTGAAATAATAGCAAACGATATATAGGCTAAAACTATAATTTTTAACAATTGCGGGTAGGGGGTATAGAAATAAGAGAAACATAATATACGGGCTAAAACATAATTTTGGAAAGGTACGGGCATAATAAGAAAATACAAGAATATATGGGTGGAAACCAAATATTTAGTGTCTAATGATGCCCTAATATCTCCAAAATCATTTTCTTACTTGAGATAATAAAAATTATTTCCATCTCTCTTATGGGAATTGATTCTTAGTGAAAAAATACACCAATTTAATACCCCCAAAAAAAAGCAATAAAGTATTATATATATATATGTATATAGAGTTTAATTATAAATAAAGTCCATAAAAGAACAAATTAAGTTTACAAAACTCCAAAATCAAGATCAAGGTTTTAATATTACCCAAACAAATTTGTTTCAAAACCCAAAATTTATTTACTTTTATTGAAAAATCACAAAATATAATTTTATACCCAATTTGCCAATTTTTGAAGGGGGAGAAAAAAAGGGATAAACTTTTTGCAATTTAGGGTTTCATTTTTTTTTTAAAAAAAATGTTTAACTTTAAGATTTTCCTCAACTAACAAGTCCAATTTTAAGCAACATACTAAAATCTATGTAAATATATATATATATGTGTGTGTGTGTGTGTATGTATAAAATTACAAAGGTGTTTTCCTAATATTCTGCCATCTCCTATTTTGGAAGTGCACTTAGAATATGTGCATATAGTTTCAACTAAAATATATAATGTTAGTAATTAAAATTTTCAAAGAGATAATGTTTGAATTTTTTGTGTGTTAAAAGAAGCTTTTAAAGTAAATTTGGCTAAAAGAATATAAATTTTCGATAAGACATCAAAAATAGTAAAAGATAGATAATTTTTAGTTTTTCTTTTGAGTGAAAATTAATACATATCCTACTGACGTAACACATATATATACTAATAATAACACAATTAATAATATTATAGTTTTTTTTTTTTAAGAGAATACTTACAAAATATAGTATAACTTATACTCACATCCGGTCAATGAGTGGCTCGTTATATAGAATTTTTAGTTAATAACATAATTCCGTGTAAGTTAATGACATTCATTCCCATACGACAAACCCATTTTCAAAAATCTAAAAATGTGTCTCCACTTATATTCCATATAGCAAAAACTCATGTGTTCTTTGTATATTTTAATTACCATTCAAGCAAATAGAAAATAAGAAGGAAAAAAAAAAGAATTTTAAACCTTTTAGCATGATATAGAGAAATTATTAAGTTTCCACCAAACAATAAGGAGTGAAAATAAAAAAAACTCGAACCACATGGAATCATCACATCATCATCGTCATAAGAGCAGAGGTAATGCCTTCAAAATAGTTAATGAAGAACATGGCGCCACCATATTAGCATTAAGATTTTCGAAATATCTCTTTCGATAATATTTAGTTCATCTACAAATTGGTTACCTTCAAGGAAGTAGTGTCTTCGTTATACTTGTTGACAACAACACCGGGAGGAGAAAGAGGTGGAGGAAGATGATTCTTACATGAATCATATGCTTCATGATAATAAATTTTATTTGAAGAAATTAATAATCCATAAATCACGTACCAAAATAATAAACTTTTATATTTTTCAAGATTGGAATATAAAATATGTGCTTTTATTCTTTTTAAAGTAAATATTTGATAATTTGATCTTCTTAAAAGTATAGCTAATTAGAAGGAAAAAAATAATTTATTCTCAAACAAGATTAATTTCTAGTAGTTTTTAATTTGAATGTGGGTTACCTGATCTTAAATAATATTGAGTTTGGGTAGCCAATAACTGGTAAAAAAATAATTAAGAACTCTTTTTTTCCTGATTATTAATTATTTTTTTATATATATTTGACGAATGAACTACCTTTATCAATATATAAAGATTTTAAGTTTGATTATTGTAATCTTTTAGCTTCTAAAATGATATGTTTATCACGTATTTGGGTTTGATTGCTTGAAAGCTTCAGTTACAAGCTTATTTATTTGATTGTCTAATAGTTTTAGCATTGCATATAAGGATTTGATTACTTAAAACATTCTGGGCGTGAGAGAGAACGTAAATGTTTAATTGTTTGATCGTAATATTTTTATTTCTCATAAGATTTAAGAGCGATACTTTAAGAAAGATGGTGATTATCGTTTTTAGCTTCAATGGCTTTGAAGACAATAAGACTTGCCTTCGACTCACTCTTCACTCTTTTCGCTATTCTTTTTATGATCTATACTATTGTTAGATACATTCATTTATGAAGGTGGCAAAATGGGTATGATTATTTAACGAAATATATTAAAATAATTAGGTCTAATATTGTATAACAAATTCACCTCGTAATTATTTTTTATTTAACTACTCAAATACTTTTATTACTTTTTTAATTTTTTTAACCAAATTAATAATTTTGAGTGTGTAAAATTTTAGTGCCAACACATATCATTTCTTATTCCTTTTGGATGATTTATTCTTCTCTTTTTTTTGACAAAAAAAAAAAAAGATTTAGTGGGAGTTTTTTCTTAGGTTTGATCTTTTAAAATGATATATATTTGATATATATACGTAGAGAAAATAATAATTTTCTTAATAAAATTTAGATGCATATAAATTTATAAATTTTTTTAGAATCGTGTCCGATAAATATTATTAATTTACATGACAAATGACATAACGGTCACGTAACGTTTATAAGTCAAAGTTTATTAATTTTGAATAAAATCATTAAATCAAAAAACAAAATAGAAAGTTAGGCCCTTCACTTCAAAAATTGAAATATAAAGAGGCAACACAAAAAAGAGAGAAGGGAAGATGAAAGAGTAATTTTGGAATTAAAGTACATTTCACTCGGCTATATATATATATATATGTATATGAATATGAATATATATATATATATATATAACAAAATACAATTAGAATACAAATTAGGCGCACCCAAAAGTCTCATCCACCATGACCATCCACTAGTCAGTTTTCAAAAAATGACATCTCTAAATAGCAACCTCAAGCTTCATCCACTTTTCCCTTATATACAAATTGAAATATTTAATGAAGAGCTAATACCATAATGTTGCTACCTCAAAATAAACACTAACCCATTTCCTTGTATATCATCAATGGACATTTTTTTCTACTTCTTCTCATATACAAAAGATTACCCACAAAAAGACATACATATAGTACCAGCATATATACATATGCAACTATATATGTGTGTGTGTGTGTGTGTGTAAAAGAGAAAAATAATATAAGTTTTTGTGAGTGTGTGTGAGCTGGGTGATTTGCTGAAGGGTCTATTTTTTGGTCTATAAATACCCATCTGCTAAGACAACCAACTTCTATTTTCTGCAAGTGCGTTATTACAAAGGAAGAGAGAGTGGGTTTTCAAGAATTCTCATCCTTTCTTTCTTTCTCCCCTTCATCTTTTTCCATTAAGCTTAGCTAGTTTCCTTACCAGGTTAGTGGGTTTAATCCAAAAACCACACGTAACCCAAATAATAATTCCATTTCATTATGATATATACAAACACACACATATATGTATGTACTGATTCTGATCTATGTATGTTCTGGTTAAAACTTGACCATCTGATCAAATCAAATCGTATGTTTTGGCTTTTCACCATTTTCAGCTTTCAACCACGGAGTTCCCTAATCAAGAACCGGAAAGCAGCTCTTCCCAGAAGAAAATGGCAAGAGGGAAAATCGAGATTAAGCGGATCGAGAACACAACAAATCGACAAGTTACTTTCTGTAAACGTCGTAATGGTTTGCTCAAGAAAGCTTATGAGTTATCTGTTCTTTGTGATGCTGAAGTTGCTCTCATCGTCTTCAGCAGCCGTGGCCGTCTTTATGAGTATGCTAATAACAGGTATTTAATCCTTCATGATCTGGGTTTTTCTGGGTTTTCTTTTTCTTCTTTTCTTGTTTGAGCTCTTACCTGTCTTAGTTTCTCTCTCTTTTTTCTATTTTCTGAGCGTATTTTGTGCTGTTTCAATTGATTTTTATAGCATGGGAGGATCGTATGATTGAATTTTAGGCAGTGGAAGTTGAGTTTATAATTTGGGGATCCATGAATATATATATAGAAAACTAAGATTCTTTTATCTTTGATACCCAGTTTAATTTCTTGGGTTTTTTTTTTTTTTTCTTTTACTGAACTTGGCTTTATGGGTTTTTTTTTTCCTCTTTCTTCTCTAACCTTAATGTGCTCTTTCTCCTTCCTTTGAGAAAAAAAAGGGAAAGGAGAAAGAAAAGAAGAAATGTTTGGGTTTTCTCTTTCTTGTCTAAGCTTGTTTTCTTAGTTCTTTCATTTGATAGATATGCAGATCTGTTGAAATATTTGATAAACTGCTGTTATAGTACTTGCTGTGACAAGTAACTAAGAGCTAGGGTTGTCAATTACATATATATACATATATATATATGTATGTATTTACAGTGATATGAAATCATCTTACTTCTTCTGCAACTTCATTGCTGCTAATTACTTTTTCCATTTTCAACTCTTTTATATTTCTCTCTCCACATGGACTGTGATTGGATCAAATCCATCAAAGTCTTCTGCTTCAACAAAACAAAAACCTATTTTCTCATTACTCCCTTTGACATCTCCTTAAAAAAATAACTGGCTGTCAGATTAACACTAGCTAGGGTTCCTTCCCTAAAACTAACATTTCCCTTCTACTTAAACCAGATTTCACTTCAATCAATCTCCCAAACACCACATTATCACACCCACCTCATGGGGTTTTTTCTTTTTTTCTTTTTTCTTTTTGGTTCTACATCTTTCTGATCTTGACCCATTTGCCCTCCTCAACAAATTGAAACCCAAAACTTAGTCAAGTTCATCTATAAAACAATATTAACAAAGAAAGAAAGTCTCTCTCTCTCTCTCTCTCTCTCTCTCTCTCTCTATCTATATATAATATAAATGGGTGTCCATAAAATCTATGAAAGATAACATCTTTCACCAATTAGTATATGTTAGACAAGTGTGATGGAGTTAACTAAAAATGGGTATGTGGATTTGGGATTAGTTTTACCATTTTACCCTTTTTTATAGCTCAAAGCCATTGATCAACTAGGGTTGTGTTAATTACTTTGTGTTAGCTGGTTTGGTAGTTGGTAATAAGGAAGAACATGTATAACATATATATATGTATGTACATATTGGAATCTTTGGTCACGTCAGAGATGATTTTTCAGTTGTTGAATGCTGACAATTATGACTGGTTTTTTTTTTTTTTTTTTTTTGCTTGTCATGATTCCTTTTTCAACTTTTTGGAAATCATGTAAAGAATTAAGCATTCTTCTTCTTTCTAGTTTCTTCTTCTACTTGAATCATGTCTTGTGCTTTCCACATTTGCCTTTTGAAGCTCCCAGTCACCCCTTAATCTTTCACTCTTCTGGAAACTATTTCTCCAAAACAACCCTTTTATCAGCTTCAACATTTCCATGCTTCAAAACCCTCACCCAAAACCTAATTAACAACCCCCTCATATACCTACATACATACACCCACACCCATCTACCCATCTTCATGCTTTCCCCGTATACACACATACATACATAAACACACCCATATATATAAACTTGTAATCTACGCAGTTTGATGACTAAAGTTACAGTCTTTCACTTACCCATCTTTCAAAAACATGATTAACTCCTCCTTACTCTTAATATACATTCATTAAAACTTCTTTTCACTGGATTTGAAGATGAATGATTTATAGTTATTAAATTATTTTTCTGGGTTTAAAAGAGAAAATTGAAGAGGGTAGGAGGTACGAGCCAATGGGGGTTCTCTGCACTTTTTGGGAGCGTGCAATCAAGGTGGTAGCAGACCTTCTCTGCTACACACCACAGTCTGTGACTCCACAAGCAAACAAATTTCCTTTTCTGTTTTTCCCTTTTTAATTTCACTTAACAAATTTTTTTCAATTAAAAAAATTAATTTTTTAATTAAAATTTTAATTTTTTTTGACTAAAAGTTTGATTTTTTTAATAAAAAATTCGATTTTTTAATTAAAAATATATTATTTTTAATGTTTGAAAATCTGAGACGTTGAAAGCTTTCTGGGGATTTTTTTTTTGCAATAACCGAGGTGGGTTTTACATGCTTCTGCTGGGTATTACGTTCAAACGTAATGTGTAAATGACACGTGGCACAGATATTTAGGTTCATATTACTTAGCCAATCATATTTAGGGATTTTGTGCCACGTGGCACGTTCGAACCAATCAGTGGCTCGACAAAATTAAGGTAACACCAATTCCTCTGACTAAAACCTATTCCTTCTGCTGTCTTTTCTTTTTTTGCTGCACTGCACCACCGTCATTTCTGTAAATCAGTCTTCAATTTTTAATATATTATATATTATATATGTATATATATATATATATATATATATTTAAGAACGATTTAAGTGATGGGATAACGTAGTAAAGTATGGAGTCAATTAAAATTTAATTATTAATTATATTAATTTGTAAATAAGAAATTTCTTGCCGTGCTGGTTTTCTGGGTTCAGTAACTGGAAAAATGGTAACTTCGTTAAGGCTGATTTATATAAATATATGGGTGAGAAGTGTCGGTGGTATTTAAGCCAGATGCTCACTGGATGCTGATTGACTGTATCTATCTATCTATCTATCTATCTCTATATATATATATACACACACACACACTCTCTAGTATCAGTTAGTTTGATCTTTGCCTTGACATTCAAAAGTTTATGTGAAGATGATCCCTTTTTCTTCCTAACTTACCTCATCTTATAGCAGTATCATTAGTTCATATATATATATATATATATATATACATACACATACATGTAATACATGTATATGTTGCCTCAGTATATCCAAAAGTAATCAAACTTCTTTTTTTTTTAAAAAAAAAAAAACTACAACAAAAACCAGGAGGCAGAAAAATTTCCTTGTTGAAAGGAACTATCTTATACTCCACTTACCTTTTCTTTGATTTTCTTTTAATCATTTTTTAATAGTTCCAGTTAATATATATATATATATATATGTCTTAATACAGAACTAAAACTCAGTTTATTGTGTTTTACTTAACACTACTCAGACTTGAGAGTTCCATAATGATGGAAATATAATTTGCAAAATGGAACTATAGTAATTTATTTCTATCATAAAAAATTTCACTTTTTTAACTCTAATAATTATCAAAAATATGTGTCGACGTGTAAACTATGTCTCGGATTTGATTCTTTTGGGGTAACACCACAAGTTTTACTTCGTAATCTCCTAGTTCATACTTGAATAGTCTTTATATAGATAAACTTTAGCCTCCGTATATAAAATTTGGTTCGACTATAACTTAATAATTAACAAAATTATTAAAAAAAGAATCAAAATTATCTATTCTTTAATTCATTATAGGATCACCGAATCACTTCTAAATCTCTTTTTTGGTGTCATCGTAGTTCTTTTAATCTCTCTGAAATTTACTTTTTAGTCATCTCATTTTGTATGATGTCTAAAGTTTTGAAACAACTTTTCTAAAAAATATTCTTAATAATTCCAATGACTCAACTTGTTAAAAAGAAGTATTGACATGTAGGCCATATTCGTGATTCAAATTTTTCGGGATAAGGCTACGGATATTGCAGTTTGAACGTAAATAGTATATTTTGATCAAATTAGAGATAAACCATTATTAGTGTATATATTGGAATATAAATAGTTGTTAATTTCTTTTTTCTCTATGAAAGTGTAAGTTTGAGTCGTATATTATGCATCTCATGTATCATTGTCGAAGGTTATCTTATATCTTTTTTTTAAATTAAAAAAAATGCACTAGCAAATTAATTGGGTTGGCCAACACTATAGGTGTTGATTTAAGTAGATGAAGTGATACCAATTTTTTATATACATATATATATATATATAATTTAATTACCGAAATATTTTAAAGTGTTAATTAGTTACAACGAGAAAAAATCAATATTTCATTCGTAATAATAATAATAATTGACTACATGCTAAGTTTGGTAACTTAATTAGATACAGTATGGAAATGTATCATGAAAATATAATTTTAATTTTTTATCTTTTACTTCGAAAATAAAAACATATGGTAATACGTATGTGTTATTATCTATATGCATACGTGTATGTGATTCTTAAAATAATTTTTTTATTACTTCCAAACTCATACTATTTTTTTATTTTTATTTTAAACTATGATATCTTTTTTAATATTTGATGTAACAAAAATAAAATAAATAAATTTATAGTTTTATTCATAATTTTGATTCGTTTTAAAATAAGATAACATAATTTATCTTATGAAAATTGTGTAACTTTTTGTTTTCCAAACCATAAATGGTCAAAGTCTATATTGACATTCAATTCAAGTGTC